TGTCACCTTGCTTATTTAATATATATGCAGAGTACATCATGCGAAATGCTGGCCTGGATGAATCACAAGCGGGAATTAAGATTGCTGGGGGAAAGATCAACAACCTCAGATATGCAGATGATACCACTCTAATGGCTGAAAGTGAAGAGGACCTAAAGAGCCTCTTGCTCAGAGTAAAAGAGGAGAGCGCAAAAGTGGGCTTGAAGCTCAACATCAAAAAAACTAAGATCATGGCATCCAGCCCCATCACTCCTTGGCAAATAGAAGGGGAAGTCGTGGAAGTAGTGACAGACTTCACGTTCCTGGGATCCCAGATCACCGCAGACTGTGACTGCAGCCATGAAATTAAAAGACGCCTGCTCCTTGGGAGGAAAGCGATGGCGAACCTAAACAGCATGATAAAAAGTAGAGACATCACCCTGCCAACAAAAGTCCGCATGGTCAAAGCAATGGTATTCCCAGTAGTCATGTATGGCTACGAGAGTTGGACTATAAGGAAGACTGAGCGCCGAAGAATAGATTCTTTTGAACTATGGTGCTGGAAAAGACTCCTGAGAGTCCCTTGGACTGCAAGAAGATCAAATCAGTCAATTCTAAAAGAAATCAACCCTGACTGTTCCCTGGAAGGCCAGATAATGAAACTGAAGCTCAAATACTTTGGCCACCCAATGAGAAGGAAGCACTCACTGGAGAAGACCCTGATGCTGGGAAAGATTGAAGGTCAAAGAAGACGAGGACAGCAAAGGATGAGATGGTTAGACAGTGTCATAGATGCAACGAACATGAAGTTGAGCAAACTTCAGAGGACGGCGGACGACAGGAAGGCCTGGCGTGATCTGGTCCATGGAGTCGCGAAGAGTCGGACTCGACTGTGCGACTGAACAACATCTAACTTCCTCCGCCTTTTAAATCTAACTTAATTTGGACTACATAACAATACAATAAATTAGCAGAAATATTTGAAATAACATTCCATTGAAATCTTGGCACTCCACTTAATTACATCAATTGAGTGACTCTTGGAAGAAAGGTTTGCCAAACTCTATTCAACTGAGATAGATCTTTCCTTCTTATTTAAGAATGTCAATTTGAGTGCCCATTAGTTTGTAACTTTTATCAAAATATTTCATGTTTCTGTCAGGCTGCTGCTGAAAATGGTGTGTGAATAAATAAAGCCATAAATAAAACCAAGTGAGAATCCCTTGGTGCTTTTTGACAATGTTAACAGTACAATCTGGTGTTTTAAATATTGCCACCAGCTGTGTAACAGGTGACCTACGAATCCATTCAATATGTGCAAGAAAGGGGAAATTAGGTAGGACGTGCAGGGCACCCTGCCAGACTTTTAAAGAAACTCTAACAATTCATTTCATTCACATAATTTGATTGCAATGTTTTGACTGCTATTTGATCCAAGATGAAATGGCACAGTTTCACAAATCCATGTTAAAAATCAAAACAATTTGTCTGGGACCCTCCCACTGCAAAGGAACCCCGGAGTGGGCACTGAATGTATTCTTTGAGAGATCCACGGGCAATTCTTTTAGCCTACCTTCTTGCTTAAAGAGACGAGCACACACCAACTCTTTCCTAGTGCGCCCTCGCAGAGGAGTCTTGGGGGTCTCCTGGCACCTACGAAGAGGAGAGAGGGCTAAATCGCCACTCTTCGCTGGAGACTTGGCGGCTGACTGTTCACTGAAGAGCAAACGTCGTCCCTTGGGAGAGGCAGGCAACAAGCTGTTCTCTTTCTTGCTTTGCTTGGTCGGGGAGCAAGACAGCACCTGGGTCACATTGCAGAGGTTGTCATCCCCTGTGGAAAGCAAAAGGTTTAGAAGACAACTGCAATGGAGGATGCTAATGAATGCCTAGAATCCAGGACCCGTCAGAAGGCTGGCTGCCTTCCAGTCTACACAGAATCCATTTATTTTAATCATTTTACAGCCCACCTGTCTCACTGAGATTCTATGAGGAAAATACAACAAACACTATGACATGAATGCCTAGAACATTTAGTAAAGATTATGTTGTATAATGAATCAAACTTTACAAAATTAAAAGGAAAAGTTCATCATACTCTCAAAATTACAAGGAAAGTCCATCATACTCAATGAGCACCCGGATATAAACGCATTTCATCCCAATCTTCCTCAGGAGTAATCCTATTGTATAGGAAGGTATCAGCCTCTTGATACAGTTCAATGTCTGTTAGGAGCAAACCAATGCTTAACTTCTTTATTTTCTGTACTTTATCCTAGAAAAAATCCATGGATTTAATCTTTACTTGTAATTTTGTAAAGTTTGATTCATTATACAACATAATCTTTAATAAATGTTCTAGGCATTCATGTCAGTGTGTTTTCCTCATGGATACCTGTGACCCCCTCTTGGTTTTCACTGAGATCCTAGGCAGGTTACATGCTCTAAAGCAAAGCAATCAAACAGCATGATATATCTATTAAACAGTGCAGCAGGAGTAGAATTTCAAAAAATAAGATGCATAAAAACATCAAACATGGTATGTTCAACAATGCTGAGAATGAAACTACAGAGTTATAGCACAACGCAGTAAGAGCAGTGCAATACATAAGATACTACATACCACAAAAAAGACCACAGCCGTGGTCTGTTTATAAAAACATCTATTTCTAACTGAGAAGACTGATTTCTGAAGCTTTCCCCCCTTTTTTAAAAACAAGCTTCCATCACTGATGATCATTTACAAAAAGTACAATCAGTGTTCACTGAACGCTCTGCGTCACCCCTTCTTTCTATACCTTGTATCGTGCATTCACAAATGGAACAGTTTCACTAAGCTAACCACTTGAGAAGTAGATTTAGGAGGGTAGCCGTGATGGTCTGAAGCAGCAGAACAATGTTTGAATCCAGCAGCACCTTTAAGACCAACAACGTTTTATTTAAGGTATAACCTTTTGTGTACACACATCCTTCCAAATTTGGACAGGTCATGGCTGAATTACCAGCAGGGAGTTGTTCCTGTTGGCAACAGAAGATAAGACTCACAATAATGGGTTTGAATTATGGGCAGGAAGGTACCAGCCAGAAATTAGGAAACTTTTTTTTTTACAGTAAGAGCAGTTCAGCTGTGGAATTGGCTGCCTAGGGAAATAGGGACCTCCCCCTCACTGGCAGTCTCTCAAGCAGTAGCTGGACGAACACTTTTCAGGGATGCTCTAGGCTGATCCTGCACTGAGCAAGGGGTCAGACTACTACATAGGCTGTCTGGCCCCTTCCAACTCTATTACTCTATCACGAAAGGTATTTCTCGGCTTCCAGAGCCTGGTGCAAATTCTCTCAACACCATTGTTTAGCAAAGCTCCATTACTCTTTTAACATTGTGCTGTGTCACTTGAGGTGTGAGAGGACAACAGCTTACCTAGGCGCTTGCGAGGGCTGAGAGGCAAGACCTGTTTCTGGGAGGAGTGTGGTGAAGCAGCCGGCGTTGTTGGGTCCAGCTTTGAAGCTCTTTCATTCTCTTGCTGTTTATGTGGTGTTCTTATGGATTTCCGCTTTGGAAAGTTGATGGTGTTCTGGCTTTGGCATCGGGACTGAGACCTGGTAGTCCGCATTATAGAATCTGGTACCCAAACAAGCAGACAAAAGATTAGTGGACAAGTTACAACTCATCACTGTAACTGCCCTGCCTCCCACAATCACCTTGTTTCTATGTCTGTCTGTAGTAGCAGAAAAGAGCAGGAGTCCAGTAGCACCCTGAAGACTAAATATACCAATCTGAAGAAGTGACCAGTGTGACTCATGAAAGCTCATACCCTGCCACAGATTTTGTTAGTTTTTAAACTGGGTGTGAGAATCAGTGTTCATGAAAAATGTTTTCCTCCTTCTCATTCAGCAAGCAATGCTTGAAATTTTACAGGGGAGTCAAGGGCAAAAGATCCAGATAGGCTTGATGCTCTATTTACCACAAACTCCTTTCCCTTCCACAACAGGGTGAGGCTGTGAGGTTGGTGGGGGTGGGGGTTAACTCATAAGAACATAGGAAGAGCCCTACAGGATCAGACCAGTGGTCCATCTAGTTCAGCATCCTGTCTCATGCAGAAGCCAACCTGTTAGTAGTTCCATCAAGCTATCAACTCCCAAATAAAACCTGCATGCATAGATGCACCACTGATGAACCAAGCACAAACTCTTTAGCATTCATTTTCTTTGCTCACAACACCTCTATACTTCCTTTCTGCACTTGCCAAATGTTGCCATGTTTAAGCAATATCAGAAGACTCACAACCTCTCAACATACATCTGTCTGTGGGAACACTAAGACAAGATTACACTGTGGATATTAAGGAAGTCAATAATTAAGTCTACCCAGCAGTTACTGTTATGACTGCCTTTCTGCAACTGGCTAAAGCATCTTGGTCACCATTTTGTTTCCAAACACAACCAGAGATTACACATACTGCTCTTAGCTCTGGAATAAGAGAAACCCAAACTGACAAATATAGGACTAAGTTACAGCTGTTGCAGAATAAACAAATTCATTCACTGCCTTGAGCTCCTAGAACAAGGTTTAGATACCACCATGATGCAACAAAAAAGTGTTAGAAGGGGAACAACCGTCACTAAACCAAATTCTGTCAATTTACAAGAGGCTATTGTAAAATCAAACCTTATGAGGTGTTCATTTCTTCTCTATTTAACTCATCCAGAGTTACCAGATGTCCTCTTTTTAGAGGGCACGTCCTCTTTTTTTGGTGTCCGTCCTCTTCAGGGCTTTTTAAAACCCTGATGAAAATGTCTTCTTTTTGGGTGGGTAGGTTAAGAATATTCCTAGTTCATAGCAATTATCGTAGTTTAAATAAGAAGGGGGTATCTAAAACGAGATTTGTCACAGGGCGCACGTGTTTGCAGTAGTCAGTCAGGAAATATGACCTCTTTCTTGCTTTTCAAAGTATGGCAACCCTGACTCATTTATACCCCAACTTTCACGTCGATGTCTCCTTGCCTGTTTTTTCCTCACGAAAACTCTGTGAGGTAGGCTAAGCGTGGACTGGCCCAAGGTCGCCCAGCGAGATCCCATATCAGGAGTAGGGATTCGAACCCGGGTCCTAGCCCAACACTCTTAACCATTAGCTTGGCTCTTTCCCTCCATGCAACTGGCCTTTTACCCCCACGAGCCTCCACATCCCTACAGCAGCCCTACTCCCATGTCGCACCCACATGTCGCACAGAAACACCACAGAGCGCAACTCTCTTACCTACCTCCACTCGTTCCCGCGCTGTCTGGAACCGCAGCACTCCAACCCCAACCGCGCTACCAACTCCGGCCTGCCCATTGGCTCCCGTTCCCTCCTTCGAGCCAATCACGGCCTCCGCCCTCTGCGGCCCCGCCCATTGGCTTTCGCCGGCTTCTTCCAGCCAATCCCCGCCTCTGCCCACTCATTAGCTCGTCAAAGCATCCGCCCGCGCGCGCGCTAGGCTCTACAGACCCGCCCATCGTTTCCCGCCCGCGCCTCTTCCTCGCAACCAATCAGCGCTCTTTGCGTCGCGCGCGAACCCTTGCGTGGCCCGCCTCCCTGCCCTTCTCTGGCGCCGCGGTCTTGACCTTCAGCCAATCGGGACTTTCTTCTGATTTGGTCCCGCCCGGAAGGAGGACTTCCGTTGTCTTTCCCGGGAGACTTCTTGTTGCTCGCGTCGTGCGAATCGACGCGGAACTGGGCGGTTCCAACGGGTTTGCTGTGGGCCCACTGAGGACCGCCCTTCCGCCGCCTACCTGCCCGAGCCGCCCGGCGCCTTCTTCCCCGCCGCCCGCCTGCAAGGGAGCACCAGGTGAGTCGCACTCTGGAGGGAATGAGATTGAGTGTACGGATGACCGAAAGTAGTGGGGTTGAATGGATGGGGGGGACGGGATGATGGAGACCAATGCTTCCTCTAAGCTGTGAGCAAAAATTCTACTTTGTGAGCCGCTGGCATTAAAGTTGCAAGCCAGTGATTTGGCTGCCGTATAAATTAGTTTGCTCTGGAGCCCTCCTTTCCGAACGAAGATTCTCGGTGGAAATTCAGTAAAAATCCACAGCTAAAAGACTGTGAGCTGGCTCACACGAACTCAGTTTAGAGGGGGAAAACCCCCCCCCCCCTTTGGGGTGGCCCATCGCCTAGGAGGTGGCGAGGGAAAATGCGCCCCCTCAGCCATTGGGCCGCCAGCTGCCGCTCAGGACTCCTGGCGTCCCATTAGCTGGGGGTGGGGAGGGATGCTGCTGCCCCGGCCCTCGGGAACTGGGGCACTACCCCCTATATATGGGGGGTAGTGACTGGGGACGGGTCCGAGTGGCAGCGGAGGCGGCACCGGGTTGGCGAGGAGAGAAGGGGGGGATTGCCGCGTCGCGCTTCCCTGTGCCGCCGCGCCCTGGTCCAGGGACGCCGCGGGAACTTCTGCGGGGGGGGGGGCTCTGCCGGGGTTCCCGGTGCTGTCCCCGACCTCGCGGCCCTGCCGGCATACCCCGCCTCACCTCGGGGTGGGGGAAAGGCCACGCCGCGCTTCCCAGGGCCCCCGCGGGCATTTCTTCGGGGAGGCCGTTTGGCTTCTGCCAGCCTTCGTTCCGCCGCCCTCCCTGGCCTGTGGGTGTGCCCCCCATCCGCAATTTCCAAAGGAGAGAAGGCATTTAAAAGAAACACGGTCCCTTAAAATGCTACAACATTGGCATTCAATTGTGCTTCTTCCTTCCCCTTTCCTGGAGGCTCCTGGAAAGTCCACCACTGGCATGTCAGCCTGGGGGGGGGGGCGCTTTGGTGTTTGGCTGCTGTGAACAGGGTCACTTCTAAAGTGACTTGGAACAAATGTAATAATTCATAATTCTCTTCCCTGGGGGAAGATGGGAACGGTAGGCAAAGATTAGGAGAGGAAACAAAAAAAGATGGGAGGGCAGGGGGAGAGACCACACCAGAGAATCTCCATCTAACTATATGGCATTTCTCCCTACCTTACCTATGTGCCCCTTGCTGGCAAGGATGAAGGGGGGGGTAGCAAAGCCAGGCTCACAAGCTGGCAGGTTTGTTCGTGGGGTGTTTAGTGGTTCCGTGCATGGGGGTTGGGCAGGGCAGTTTGGCAGCGTAATTGGCTGGGTCTTAATGCCCCACTAGCAATGCTCCCTCTAAGTCATGGAGTCTTGTGAGCAAAAATGCTACTTTGTGAGCTACTGACATTCAAGTTGTGAGCTAACAATTTGGCTGCTGCATAAATTAGTTTGCTCTAGAACCATCCTTCCTAAGCTAAGACAAAAATATGTGAGCTGGAGGCTAAGAAGCTGAGCTCACTCACACCAACTCAGCTTAGAGGGAACACTGCCCACTAGTGTCTTGCAATGTAAATGCATGCGCAGCTGTTCACCTGGAAGCCTTACAGACACTTTCCCTTCTTTGTAGCCCCCCAGGGACCAGGAGCATGTCAAGGCGGAAAGCAGGCGTTCAACAGCTTGGTGGGTGCACGAAGAAAAAACGTAATACCTTCAATACTGAATGGTTGACAGAGTTTTCTGTTGAAACGCCAATGCCACACATGAATGAATGTACGAGAGTGCAACTAAAAGAGATTTTTGAATATCGTGACACAGATGACGCAATAGTCTGTAAAATATGTCTCAAAGCAGAAGTTGATGGGAATTGGAGCACCAGAAATAAATGGGGTGAGTGGAAAATAGATTACTTTAAGCGTCACGTGAATCAGAAATGCCACTTGGATGCAGTAAGAAAGCTTCGAAATCAGGGCTGTGGATCTTTACTGAATTTCTTCCGAGAAACCCCTGAAGATCAGAACAGCAGAACTGAATATGTGAACCAAGACGGGTCAAACCCAGAAGAGTGCAAGACATTAATTGAGAACGTGCTACTTGCAGTTCAGATGAATGAATCTATGCTGTCTGTGCAGGAAATTCATGACCACGTGGCAAAATATGCTAAAATTCCTGCTAACTATAGAAGCATAAAGCATGCCTTCGAATTCGTTGAATGCATAAGTGCTGTTGTCAAAAGTGAAGTTTTAAGCGAAATCCGGGAATCTCCTTTCCATACCCTCATAATTGATGAGAGCACCGACATCACTGTGTCAAAGATGCTTATCATGTACATCAAATTCAGAAGAACTGGCGGTGATCTACATAAAACTGTTTTTGCTGGCATTGTAAAATTGGCTGCTTGCAATAGTGCTGCAATAGTTGATTCTATAAGGGAGTTTTATAACAAGAATCACTTGGACATGAATCGCATGGTCATGTTTACGTCAGATGGTGCTTCTGTCATGCTTGGAAAGCAGAATGGTGTTGCTGCAATTCTGCGTGAATCAATTCCCCATCTGCTAGAGCAGCACTGTGTAGTTCATCAAGAAGATTTAGGAGTAGATGACGCATGGCAAACAATCCCATTCATTAAGGAGGTTGAAACTCTAATATGCACTGTTTATACCCTCTTTGGTCGATGGAGTGAACAAAAAGCCAAACTGGAAGAAATTGTCAGTGTAGCAGACAGAGATGTTGTTTCATTTAGGCCACTGGACGAAGTAAGGTGGCTTTCTCGACACTTCGCTGTAAGTGCTTTGGTTAAGAATTGGGACGTTTTAATTGAATATTGCAAAGAACAAGTCGAAGAAGATAATGACCCAGTACACAAATACTGCCTTGAAAGGTTAAGTAATCCACAATACAAGGTGGCATTATTTATCCTTTGCGATGTTCTCGGTGATTTAGCAGAACTTTGCAAAATTCTTCAGAAGAGCTCTTTGACCACTGTGGAAGTATTTCAGTTCACCAAAGCCAAAATCAGGAAAATTAGATCTCAGTATCTGGGAGAGAAAGTCCATTTCAGTGAAACGGTACAAGATCTAATTTCATCTTACAATTCTACCGGACATATTGATGCTGTCCTCCATTTCATTAGACAAACTTGTGACCACATGGACAAAAGATTTCCAGAGAATGAATTACAGGATTGGTGTGTATTTGAAAAAGACTGTTTGTCAAACTCCTCCAGCTTTGGCAATCGAGAGCTTTCAAGATTAGCCAAGCGTTACAGCGTTTTGTTCCAGAAAGATGAACAATCATATGATAAGGAACTTCACAAAGAGTATTCAGACTTCATATTAATGGTTGCAAAGAAGCTAAAAGCTGGAGATGTGAAAACCTTCCAGGACATACTGACATTTACACGACAACAAGAACGATTCAGTGCACTAAATCTTCTTCTAGAGGTTTGTGGAACTTTCCAAGCCTCAAGTGTTGATTGTGAGAGAGGTTTTAGCTTGACGAACGCCATCAGAACTGAGATTCGAGATCAGCTAGATACAGATCACCTGGAGAACTTAATGAGAATTAAACTGCATATGTCTGATGGGAATAATATTAATATTGGCAGTGTTTTCAGTTTCTGGAAACAGAGACAGGAAGAAGAGAGAAGTTAAACTAAAACATTTTCTGTAACTAAATTTAGAGCAGTGCTGCTCCTGAAGAAGTGAGCCATGACTCACGAAAGCTCCTGCCCTGCCACATATTTTGTTCATGTTTAAGGTGCCCCTGGACTCTTGGCTCTTTTCTACTACAATTTGACTTGCTTCTGTTTTCACGTAGGGTCTTTAAATCGTTCTTAAAATATAAATTAAAGGAATTCATTCTGAGATTTTTACAAGGTTATGGTAATAAGTGTCTATAAAACTAGTGTACGCAATAGTCAATGAAATATTAAAAGCAAGTGTAAGTTCCAGATAAAGATATGACTTGTAATATAAATGTTTATATTTTATGTTTATACATTGAAATTTTAAAAGTTTTTAATACATTTAGGCAGGCTCACAGCTGTTCTGGCGCACAAAGTAGAATTTTTGCTCATAACATTCCACACCTTAGAGCAGCAGCGGTGTCAATCATAAGCAGTGTTCCCTCTAAGCTGAGTCAGTGTGAGCTAGCTCACAGGTTTTCAACCTCTGGCTCACACATTTTTCCCTTAGCTCAGGGAGGAGGGCTCCAGAGGAAACTTAATTTATGCAGTAGCCAAACTGCTTGCTCACAACTTTAATGCCAGTAGCTCACAAAGCAGAATTTTTGCTCACAAGACTCCACAGCTTAGAGGGAGCTTTGATCATAAGTCTTGGAGGCTGAAACAGGCCACTCCATGGCTCTTGTCTGGCCCGCAAGCAACGGGTGCGAGGGACAGAACAGGAGGCTGCTGGGGTGTGTGTGAGTGGACACAGACACTCCAACAATGGCTTCAGCATGGCAGAACAACCTTATCTGCAGAAGTCAGGCAGAACCCTTTCCCTTCAGTGGCAGCCGCACTGATAAAACGGGGTTCCACTTACCTGTAACTGTTGTTCATCGAGTGGTCTTCTGTGCAGGCACACATGGGGAATCCCATGTGCATGTGCAGGCCAAATGCAGAAAAGATTTCCAAGCTTTCTCTAATAGACTAGGAGCACCCCTCCTCCCTCTGGCGCCTTCCCACATGTGACTAGGAGGAGGGGCACTACTTCCTCAGTTCTCTCTATCCGGACACCGGAGACCCCTAGAAACCAAGGTTCCAGAGAGTTCACAGTGGAGCAGGAGGGAGGGATGTGTGCCTGCACAGAAGACCACTTGATGAACAACAGTTACAGGTAAGTGCAACCCCGTTTTCATCTTCATGGGTTCTGTGGCAGTCCCACAGTTTGATTTTGCACTCAGGAAGACTTGTCCTTGAGAGCCAGTTTGGCGTAGCAGTTAAGTGCGCGGACTCTAATCTGGGAGAACCGGGTTTGATTCCCAACTCTTCCACTGGCTGGATGACCTTGGGCAAGCCATAGTTCTGATAAGAGCTGCCCTTGAAAAAGAGCAGTTTCTGTTAAGAGCTCTCTCAGCCCCACCTACCTCACAGGGGTGTCTGTTGTGGGGAGGGGGAAGGGAAAGAAGTTTGTAAGCTGCTCTGAGACTCCCGAGTGATGGGCGGGGTATAAATCCAATCTCTTCTTCACATGGGGAGACTAGCAGGTTGGGTGTGAATCCCTCAAAGGAAGGGACCACCAAGGACTACCTTGACAGCTTAGTGTTCCATGGTTCCCTTCACCCAGAACTGTCTTATAACAGAGCTGAGAGCTCTGTACAAGTGTCCCAACTGAAATATATGCAGGAACATGGGAAAGACAAAGACAGCCCTCTTTTGAAGGGAGTCATGATACATAAAGTGGCATTGAACAGCCATGCACTCAAGACAGATAGCCTCTACCAACCCACTATTTATTTCGTACTTATTTCAATTTCTATCCCGCCTTGCCAGACAAGGATGGGTTGTGTGAGAACACTGACCGTTAGGCTTTGCTGCAGCAAACAACTACCCCCCCACACACCCTCTTTCTACCTGTATGTAATGGTTGGCGAAATCTGTTTTGATGTATTTGAAGAAGTGTGCATGCACATAAAAGCTTATACCCAGAATTAACCTTTGTTGATCTTTGCACTAATAATTCAGTAAGTTGTACAAATGCTACTCAGCAGATATGCTGCAAACTGGAATGAAAAGTTATCTTGAGAATTACGAAGATATCTTTGGGAATGCTTACGGACACATGACTATCAATTCATTCATTCATTTTTATTACGGTCAGAGACCCATTAAACAGCATACACATATGTCTATCAATCGTTTCAGCAGACTTAAGAGAAAACTATGTACTTCTGGTTACCTGGCGCCCTGTAGATCATCTCACATGCACCTTGGATATCAGGATTAGTGTGGGATATGCAGTACGTTTGCCTGAGTTAAGTAACAAGTTCTTTGGCATTCTGAAATTGAAAACATGTTTGGCACCAAGTTTTTGTACATTTTATAATAAAATCAATTGCCAGACTGAACGTTAAACCTTGGCCTATTGTGTTACTGCCTCAGAACACTTATGAGCTTGTTGCACAATGATATGTAAGCACTACGGTTGCTAGCTCTGGTTTGGGAAATACCTGGATACTTGGGGGGGGCAGGGTTTAAGGAGCAAAGGGACCTGTCATTGTAGTATAAGGTCAGCATCCACCCCACAAAGCCACCATTTTTCGCCAGCTGTCATTCTGGGAGATCTCCAGCCCCCACCTGGAGACTGATAAGAATAGAACAAGAAGATCACAGTGTCAATGGTGGAAAATAACACTAAAACACCATGTAATGAACGAGAGCCAGTTTTGTGTAGTGGTTAACTGCGTGGACTCTAATCTGGGAGAACCGGGTTTGATTCCTCACTCCTCCACTTGCACCTGCTGGATGACCTTGGGCAAGCCATAGTTATGCCAGAACTTTGAAAAAAAGCAGTTCCTGTCAGAGCTCTCTCAGCCCCACCTACCTCATAGGGTGTCTGTTGCGGGGAGGGGAAGGGAAAGGAGTTTGTAAGCCCTTCTGAGACACCCTTGGGTAGTGGAGGGGGGGGTATAAATCCAATCTCTTAAATCAACCCCAAAATTTTAGGTTTCTTCTTTTAATATCTTGGTATTTATATAATGCTAACTTCTTATTAGGAGCTGTGGTGGCTCCACAGGTTAAGACGCTGAACTGCAGGCTGTGGAAGGTCGGTAGTTCAGCAGTTCGAGACCAGAGTGAGCTCCCGTCTCTAGTTCCAGCTCCTGCCAACCTAGCAGTTCGAAAGCAAGAAATTGCAAGTAGATAAATAGGTACCACTTCAGTGGGAAGGTAACAGTGTTCCGTGCGCCTTGGTGTTTAGTCATGCCGGCCACATGACCACGGAAACGTCTTCGGACAGCTCTGGCTCTTCGGCTTGGAAACGGAGATAAGCACCGCAACCCTAGAGTTGGATCCGACTGGCTTTCAAGGAAGGGAACCTTTACCTTAACTTATTATTACACAATAATTGCAACGTAAATTAAACAAAACATTCAAAAAAAATTCCCCAAAAATATGACGTTTGCCCCATAGGATTATAAATTGACATGAAAGTCTAGGCGAAATGAAGATGCAGGAAAATAGTAAGACAACGAGAGCCGGTGTTTGACTTATTTCTGCTGGCTTCCTGAGGTCAATCTTGTCAGGGTGAGTGCCATGTGTTTTTGAGAATTTGATTGGCAATTCCCTGTACTTTCTAAGAGCGTTATTTGATGCATGTGCTGAAGCTTACAATATATTACATATCAACAGATTGAAAACAGAATTATATATTTCTTGTATTCTGTAAGACATTAAAGTGCTTTAGTGTTATGATCACTGGGAGACTGGCAACCCCATCTTCTATTGACCAACCCTAATATTAATGATTGAGTTATGGGAATGTAGAAAATTGCTCTCATGTCTAAAGTAGAAGTAGAAATCAGCATTTAAA